GAAACCCGAGCTCCGACAACCTTAATAAGGAAATTAGGGTTTAGGGTTTAGGGTTTAGGGTTTAGGGTTTAGGGTTTAGGGGCTGGAGCTCTCATGGCTTTCATCCCTATCTCAAACACGAAGCCTAGGACCCTGGGGGTGTGGGAAGCGTAACTGCGTTCTGTCGAGTCGCCGTCTTGACCAGCTACACCAGGCCGAGCAACGAGCTGTTGCTACGATGCGGCACAATTTGGGGGTTTCCGAAAATNNGTACCCTAAACAATAGGATCCCTATTATAAGGACCCCAAAATAAGGTACCCCTAATTTTCTGAAACTCCCATATGTGGTTTACCCTAAACCCTAAACCCTAAACCCTTAACCCTTAACCCTAAACCCTTAACCCTAAACCCTAAACCCTAATTTTTCTGAAACTCCCATTTCTTGGCTCGTTCGCCAGCCTCGCGCTTCCGCCGCTGCCGCCGCTGTAGCAGAAGCCGCTGCCGCTCCTTCAAACAAGGTCATCCCCGCTTGGGGTTTAGGGTTTAGGGTTTAGGGACAACAGAACCGCCACTTCTCATGAGAAGACTTGACTAGCCGTGGGAATGGAACAGAGCAGAGAGCGTAGAAGAGCAAAGATCTGGTTTTTGAGAGCGGCTTTGGGTCGATGCCACTTTCCCGGTCTCCTCTTCCTCCTCGCGAAGTTCCAGCAGCCGGGCCTGCCAGATTGATCATTCCCGAACGGCACATCTTCCGAATTCTGAGCGTGGAAGTCACCGTGATGCATACTATTTCTGGCCTTCACGCATACCTTCCTTGCAATTGTCATGTCCAGAAAACTAGTTGCAGATACGAAGCTGCACCTTCATTTCCTCGCACTGCTGCTTGGCAGCACTGGTGTCTGTGCTGAAGTCGCCTTTGGTGCCCTGGCGCTTCCTCAGTCGCTAGACACTGCTGTTGTCCGAAACAAACATCGTCGCGTGTACTGTGCGCTGCCGAAGGAAAGAGCATCCTTTCGATACTCTGAACTGACAGCTGGATGCAAACTCGAGGCATTGTTCCTGCATCGTTACAGTCTTCGACGACGACGACGACGACGACGACGACGACGACCACTACCACCGTAACCACTACTGCTTCAGCTGCTATCGCTGCCACAATTTGATGCCTTCTAGTAGGACATGAACAAAATGAGAATGGCTACCGCTGTTGATTTGCTGGTTGTTGTACTGTACCACTACAGAGCCCTTCCTCTGCTGTGACCGGACGTCAAATTACAAGGCATGCTCGCTGACAGGCGGCAACCGTGATGGCGACGGACTCAGCCCTGTGAGGTCCCCAACCGTCTTGCCAGTTGCCTTGCCAGAAGACACCGCGGATCCCTGACGAAAGCAACGACTCTACTAGGACTCTCCTCGTCCTGCAGCCGCTCAGACATCTTGGAGGCCGCAGCCTGCGAGCAAAAACAGGAACTGGGTCGCGCCTCCTTTTCTTTCCCAGATGCAGAAGTTGACACAGAGCAGACAGGTTCGATTCATACGGGCCATCTTCACGAATTAAGACAATCTGGCTTCCATGCTCCCTTGTGCAATCTCTCTTTCCTTCATCGCCTGCAGCTCTTCGAGCCCAACAAGCTGTCTCCAGGCTTCAATCTCGTCCATGGCTTCAGAGTCTTTCTGCATAACCTGAGCAAAGCAGCGGGCCTCCAGAAGCTGCATCTACCTACCTATCCTGTCAAGCATGATATAGCATGATAACTCTGATAATTCGACCCATGCCTTGCGTTGATAACTCTGGGGCCCGGACCTCGCTGAGAGACTTTTCCTGATCTTGGAGGCCTGCGGAATGAGCGCTGAGTTGCAAAGTTCAAGCCCTGCTTTGCACAAGCACCGCATGAGACTAGTGCTCACGATTTCATTCTGGCAGCAAAACATTCGTAGCAGTAGCAGTAGTAGTGGTAGTGGTAGTAGTAGTAGTAGTAGTAGTAGTAGTAGTAGTAGTGGTAGTAGTAGTAGTAGCAGCAGCAAGTAGCAGCAGCAACGGTCGCAGTCGAAGTAGTCGTTGTTGTAGTAGTAGCAGCAGCAGCAGGAGTAGTAGTAGTAGTAGTAGTAGTAGTAGTAGTAGTAGTAGTAGCAGTCAGTAGCAGCAGCAGTAGTAGTAGTAGTAGCAGCAGCAGCAGTAGCAGCAGCAGTAGCAGTAGCAGTAGCAGTCGAAGGCGCTGTCGCTGTCGCCGTCGCTGTCGAAGTCGCAGCAGCAGCAGCAGCAGCAGCAGCAGCAGCAGCAGCAGCAGCAGCAGCAGTAGCCGCATTGGTGCTAGTATGATAGTAGCTAGCTAGCAACACGAAACAAAAGAGCAGCAAGTAGCTAGCTCGAGGGGGCCACACGAACAGCGAGAAGAAATCACATTCATGTGTCATGCAGCATGTGGAGGCTTGCTGGCCTTCACAATGCTCGACTGCCAAAGCTCCAAACTCCGCACCAGATGCTGCTATCCTCAGCTTCAACTGGCGGACTACTGCCATGGCATGCCAAAAAGACTGCTACAATAATAAGATTAATCATCATACTACTAGTAACAATAAGAACAGTAATCATAGAAACAATACCAGTAATCATAGTAATTAAGACTACTAACTCAGCCGAGGAGCTGCTCAAGTTCGTCCTTGACAGCCTTCGTAACATGATCGTGAGCTGTTGCTTTGGGGAGATCTTCCCTGTTCTCGTCCTTAACTGCCTTTGCTCGTTTAGTCGTTCATGCCTTCCTGTTCATCGCTGCTTGCAGCACTTCTGCGGTTGGACCTCAGTATACTGGACTCCTATGCACCTCACGTGGAACCGAACAACTCTGAAAAAGCACCGGAACCCGGGCCCCTAAACCGTAAGCCGAAATTCCGAAACCCCCCAATCCTCAACTTCGCTGCCCTAAGCCCCGAATTCCCAACACCCCCCTCCCCCTCACTTTGAACCCTTGACCCCAAAACCCTGAAAGCTACAGTCATCAAAAACTTGAACCCTCAACCAACATAACCGTGAACCACGAAACTCCTAACCCAAAAGACCCCCAATAATGCTCCCCTCCAAGATTAAAGGCCTGCGGGCGGCTGTGGCCGGATTCCGTTCTACTGATGAACTAACCCCCACGAAAACAGGCAACATCGTTGGAGAAGGGCTGCAGCGGGCACCACTTCTAATTTAACGTCTGCCTTTCGCAGTGACAACTTACGAGTACTGATTCCTTCCAATACTGCTTGCAAGCGCCGCTACTCTTTTCAGGATTATTCGAGGGGTGGTCGATCCTCCGGCCGCCCTGCGACCTTGACTGGCGGAACTTTGAAATCCTGGAACCCTCAACGGTAAAATCCCCCATGACCCTAAACCCTAAACCCTAAACCCTAAATCCCAAACCCTAAACCCTAAACCCTGAACCCTAAACCCTAAACCCTGCCGGCGCACCTCCTCAGCTTTGCCCCGGCGGCGCCTGGCACGGAGGCCGAGTCGCTGTCGCTCGGCATCCTGCGGAGCTTCGGAGGCTCAAAGGACTGCTTACCTGTAGCCGAAAAGACCCACCTTGTTAGGCTTCCTTATTATGGCTTCTATATCTAGGTAGAATCTAGGAAGATGGGCTCTTAGAGGCTCTGAAGTAGAGGTTTTTTGTTCGGCTTTATAGGCTTCTTATACGGCTTTTAGGGCTTTCGGGCTTGAAGGACTTCTTGGGCTTCGGGTGTTTCTGAGCTTTATGGAGTTGTCCTACTTGCCCTGAACCCTAAATCCTAAAGGCCGGAACCCTGAACCCTCCTCAAGACACCCAGACTGAAAGCCCAAAGCCCCGAAACCCAAACCCTGAAGCCCTGAATCCCTCTAAAGCCACAAAAGCCCTCAAACCTGAAAGCTGAACCCTGAAGCCCTGAAAACCTGAAAGTCATGAACCTAAAACCCCTACTTTCGAGAGACCGAATCGCTACATCCGAACAACTCTAGGCTTACAGTTTGGAGAAGTTCGACTCTCCACTTCAAGGTGAAGCACGCTGCACTAAGCCACGAGTGCCAAGGCAACAAAAAAGGCTCATCGCTTCGCGTCCTCCGACAGCTGAGCCAAACCTGCTAAGGATTGAAGATTTTCTTCGGAGTGTGGCGTTGCGCAGCAGTGGCTGGTCCGGGCTTGGAATCATTCGGATTGCCAACAACTGCCCATAGGCCCTAAAGTACTTCTTTTCTGGGGCTCATAAACAGAATCCAAAAAGGTAATCCCAAAAAGGAACTACTATGGGGCCTATGGGTGCTCCTGCCGAGTTGCGTCTGCGCGCTTCGGCCATCTCCGCTGACGCATCCACCTCGGCACCCGCCAGTTGAAGTATCGCACCCTAATGTAGGGGCGTCTTTTTGGGGGTATACTATACTATTATAATGTGCAAATACCAGCAGCGGCCCTCAAAGAGGCCCTGGGTTTTCCAAATGTGCTCTGGCCGTTTCCCCATACTCTTGACAGTGACGTGTGGGCGACGCGTCCCCCTAACGAGAAACATCGAGAAACCTTAACCTCAAGAAGCCTCTGAGATGCATCCTTCAATCAACAACCTCAGACACTTGCTCTTGGCCATGTGCTCGTTCTCTCAACGATTCGAGTCGACATCCCGCCCTTCTCGCAACCTCAATCTCAAAACACGCCACGTCTCTCCTATTCCCACACGTCTACAAAAACCCGTACAGAACCCAAAGCCTGAAACTGCTGAACCCGAATTATCCCGAACTCAAGCACTAGCACAGAATCGCAAAGTCCGCAAAGTTATCCCTTTGCGCCGAAGACTTGGACTGGCACAGCACCGCTTCGGCCCGGCTGCCTGTGGATGGCTTTGGGCCCACGGAGCTGAAGCTCTCAGGCGGGTCTTAGGCATCAAAAATCTGTCCCAAAATCTCAAGGTGTCCGCTCGGCAGAGATGTCATCCGTGCCTGCTACTCTTCTGGCTGTCCTCAGACGAAGCCTCCTGCCAGGGACGTCACGTCACCAGCAGAGACCACAGAGGAAAGAGCATAAGGGCGCCTGGACCCGGACCGAGACATGGAGAGTCAGCTGCTCTAAACTCTCCGTCAGCTTGCCACTCCACCTTGGCGATTCTGGGCGAGCGCTCTCAAGAGCCAGGTCACTGAGTCAAGATTCTGGCGACTGAGCTTCATGCTACACCCTTCCAAGCCCCTGAGTCAATGGGTTTAGGGTTTAGGGTTTATAGGGTTTAGGATCCAAGGAGCAGGGAGTCAATGAGGCTCCAAGCTTCAGAATGCGAGTCCCGGCCCAGCTCCTGACATTTGCGGGATGCGGAGAGCTTCGGAAAGTGTCTGGTGCTTAGTAGGGAATGGGGGAATGGATCCCTATGATAGTCCCTTAAGGTCCCTTATAGTAGTCCCTATAACCCATTCCCCCATTCCCTACTAAGCACCAGACAGGAAAGTGTGGCTCCACAGTAACTCCATGCCCACGGGTCTTGCAGATTTCCATAGCAGCTCGGCCCGGCCTCGCATTGGAGCCTGGCCTCCCTGCGCTGCTCCAAGAGGGAGGCAAGCACAGCATCCACGGCGGCTTCTCCTGTGCCACCTTTCCTCCGTCGCCTCGCTTTGGCCGAAGTATATTATCTTATATTATCTTATATTATCTTATATTATATTATATTATATTATATTATCTTATCTTATCTTATCTTATATTATATTATATTATATTATCTTATCTTATCTTATATTATATTATATTATATTATATTATATTATAATTATAATTATAATTATAATTATAATTATGTCTGCATCGTTCCGCATATTTCTGCATCTCGGGCCTCCGAAGTGCCTCGCGCTGTGCCTCCACATCGTGGTCGAAGCGAGCCACGCGGCGCAAGGCCTCCTCCAGAGCCGCCTGCCTCGGCTGCAACGGTCTAAGAATGGCCGAAAGCTCGCGAAACCGCGAAACCTCTGGACACCCTCAGACCCTGAAGAGGCTATGCTGTGTTTAGCAGCTTCTCCAAGAAAATTCTGAAGCTTCTTCTGCGCGGTTGCCGCTCTGAGTCTTCGAAGCGCAAAGGCACCGCCTGGCCAAGTTAAGAGATATCCCGACAGACGTGCACGATTGACACGGCTGTCTGCCTTCACGTTATCCGGCGAGAGGCTGGATAAGTAGGGGGCATTGAGACTAAATCACGACTTAACAACATTCAGACTTCTGTCCCGGCCTTTGAGGCGTCCTGCTTAAGCTGCGCGGCTGTCTGCGCACAGGAGCGGAAGGAGTCATCCAAGTCGCGGCAGCGGGCCTCGAGCGAAAAGCTGCAGTAGCGACAGAGGGGGGGGAAAGGAAGAAGCTCTTTTCTAGGTCCTCAGTATTATATTATACATCTTATAATATTATATATATATATATATATTATATGTATAATCTACATTAAAAAATAATCTTTCAGAATTCGTTAGCATCCGAGAGGCGGCCAGCTGCTCGCACGAGCCGACGTCCTCGCTCGACCAGCCCTCCCTGGAAGCCACCTTTGCCCAAGCAAACTTGGAGGTTCATGGGTAGTTATAAGTGGGGTTATAAGTCCCCAAATATGGGTTGTAACTATAGACTGTTACCTTACTTGTAACCTCACTTATAACTACCCATGAACCTCAAAGAAGCGAAAGCCAAAGCGTCGCGCGAGGATATCCCAGGCACCTGCAGAAGCCGGTCGCAGTCGGAGAGGCAGCCCTGCCGCTCGGCAGCCAGCGATTCAAGCTCGCCTCGAATTCCCGGCTGAAACATGCGAAAGATCCGACATCGGCATCATAAAGATAAGCCGCCGTGATGAAGGAGCGCATATCCCAACAGAGTGACGTCGTCGACCTCATTCTGCAGAGCCCATCTACCGACCTGGTTTCTTGCCTTACAAACCCGACTACTGTCGATTCTGGCATTTCGACACGCTTGACTCCAAAGAGCACAGGGGTGCATGTCGAGCACCATGACTGCCGCGACACGGTGAATTTCGTGCCTAGACCGAGGCCCAGGCCTCGCCACTCTGCTTCTGCACCCGGCGACGCTGAAGGCCACAGCGCTGCAGCTCAAGCTGGTCCTGCACCAACACGGAGCGGCTGAGACCGTGGAATTTGGGGCCTGCACACAGAAGCACGCACAGAAGCATGAAGTGGTAGCCTACATGCAGTCTCTCACTGCCACTGATGCAGTTGATCTTAAGCCTGCGTTCGTGGATGTAGACATATCGCGAGAAGATGCGAGAAGATCGAGAAGTCGCGAGTGCCCAAATGCCTCAAAGTTTGCCAGGCGTCGGGCAGCTTCCGCGACAGCGCGGCGTGCTTCCTGCTGAACCCACCAGTCCACCAGCACTTTGGAGCAGCCGATCTACGCAGGAAGCTAGTGGCAAACAGGTGCTCCTCGTTGTCAAACTCCGGTTTCACTTTGAGCCTGGCATGTGAAGTTTTGGCACCTTGACATATCTGCACGCGGTTGGGGCTGTAAGTCTGCACTGATCCATGCAGCCTTCAGACATGCAGCAAGGCTTTCGTGTCCAAGACTGTGCATTTTTCATGGCCGCCCATAACTTCGAGTTCGTGGGAGGGCGAGGGCCCTCAGGTGGTCTCTGCGCCTGCGGGAGCGGCTCGCAGGATCATCCGGAGAGCCGGGGCCGACCTGGCGTGTCAGGGCGTGTCCGTGCTCCGCAGCGCCCTCGGCCCTCAAAACCTCGGCCTGCTCCTCGTCCCCTACTTGCTGCTTCCGACGGCGCGTCAGTCTCGCTCGCTGCCGCGCTTCCTCCTCACGAGCCGGAGGACGCAAGTCGCAGCAGCAGGCATGTGGGTTTGGAGTGCGAAGCCAACTGCTGTGATCCCCGGCCAAGAATGCTATGAGCCGGCAACAAGTGTTTCGAGAGCGCACCGGCAACAATCGCGGGGCTGTCGCAGTACGCCGAACCCCTACACTCCTCGGCAAGCTGCATCAGACCTCGCGGTGCCAGTAGCAAGGTCACTTCTTTATTTGTCAGTGACTTTCTGCTCTCCAGTCTTGAACTGGAAGTCTCGATGATTCAATCCAGGATGCGGCGCCGTGCTTCCCTCAGAGCTGCATCTGTGTCGACCTCGTCTCATGGCATGGTCAAGCATTGACGGAGATCGTGAGGATACCATTCGTGTGTCAAAAACAGACTGCGAGCTTCAGATTCCACACAAAAACGCATCACTCGGCAATCACAGCTTGAGGAATGCACGGGCTCGTCCCGATTGAAGCTTAGCCTGGGCGGAGGGAAACACTGCCCACAAGACCATACAAGACTCGTCCAAGGCAGGGCGCTGAAATAGAATTCTCCGGCCTGCTCCGTCTTCCATCCCCTCCATCTTCAGAGGCATCGTCCTGAAAAGGAGAGTAAAAATCTCAATCGGACAGCACAGTTCACCAGATGGCGAGAGACTTCAGCATCAAAAAGGCGCTGTCACAACCGCCATCACATTGGCATGTGCTGCTGGCAAGCATTGGGTCCTGCACCACATCTGGGCCAAGGATTGTCTCCAGCAGGTGCCGCAGGTCGTCTGTAAGCTTCCCTCGCCACCTGAAGCGCGCTCGCTCTGTGAGTAGACTGCTGAGCACCTCCAGACATTGTCACCAAGTTGCAAGGACAAGATGAGCTGCCACAGCTCTGACGGAAGCTTGTGGGCGAAATCCTCAGGTCATCTCCGGTCACACAGGCTCACAGCAGCACAGAAGCTCTCGATGAAGCCAAAGTGCTTCGCACTGCGACAAGGCCCCGCTTCGCCCGTCGATGAGCTCCACCAGCGCAGAAAGCTCCGTGGCATCCGGGCCGCTTGTGGAGCTCGACGACCGGACTCGCCGCCTTCACTCAGGCTTTGCGCAGCAGCTTGGCCACAAGCACCGATCTCGGTTCCCTGTGTCTCTACAATCTGAGCTGATCCTTCCTGTCCCTTTGCTGGCCTCTTCAGGGCTGCACGCTGCTGCTCCAGATCCGAATCAAAGCTGGCCAGGCGCTTCAGGGCCACATCCAAGGCTGCGCGCCTAGATGCATCGGCATTGGTCCCCAAAAGAATGGCAGTGCACGCACGCGAATGCCAGCGGTCGCGAGAACTGGTGCCGTTCTGCCCAGTCGCAGTTCCGGATCGTCGACTTTGCCCGCCAGTGCGGCCTTGAGCGCCTCGATCGCCGACGTGGCGCCAGGGGCAGCGACGACCTGGCTGTGGCGGTAAGGAGACACGCATGGAGAAAGCACTTTTTGATGGACTGCGATATGCTCTCGCCTCCTCGGTGCCTTGTTGCAGCATCTCTGCTGTCTGGTCCAGCGACTTGAAGGACTCCTCCAACCGCTGACATTGCGCCTCGGAAGCTCTCAGGAATACCTCATGCACAGCATGGATCATGCTTGCAGTAGGCGTTGCATCCAAGGCACCACCAGCTGGTCGTAGGCTGCTCGCTGGTCTTCTGACCAGCCCTCAGCCTCTGCCACCTGCGGTTCAAAGGGCTCCAGCCGCTACTACGAACCCTAAACCCTAAACTCTAAACCCTGAACCAACGAACAGTGGCTGTGGTCTCACTTTTCTGAATGTGTCTGTCTGAGCAACGGCCACTGACCCGCTCTGGAAGCATAAAGGTTCCACATTTAGTGTTGCGTTCACCTGATCTGTCTAAAGCCCGATACGCCACAGCAACCCAAACCCCAAACCTCCAAAACCTAAACCCTTAAACCCCAACCCAAACCCCAAACCTCCAAAACCTAAACCCTTAAACCCCAACCCAAACCCAAAACCTCCAAAACCTAAACCCTTAAACCCCAATCCAAACCCCAAACCTCCAAAACCTAAACCCTTAAACCCCAGAAACTGGCCCTAGACCCCAGACACGGCCTCCAAGAGCTTTTGGAGTTGTCGCCGGCAGCGGCCACGCTCAGCTGCCAAGGCCTCCAGGGCACCTGCAGGCATTTGGGAGTTTCCGAAAATTAGGGTACCTTATTTTGGGGTCCTTACAATAGGGATCCTATTATTTAGGGTACTATTTTAGGGTCCCCTATTTTCGGAAACCCCCATTTAATGGCTGTCGTTCTCATCATTCCTATCCTTATATCACTTTATAGCTGGAACACTTGTTGACCCTTGTGGGACTATGCTACAGTACTTCTTTGGCTTGAGGGATCTAGGCAGCAGGTCTCAATCGCACAACTTGCACCAGCTTGCCAAGGCACCCTGGTTCAGCAAGGCATGCTCTGCAAGCAATACATCATCCGCCTGAAGCGGCTTCGGAACAGCCATGAATGAGCTGAGATAGGCAGCACTGAGCACCACATACACAGACACAAAATCGCACCTGACCGCTCCGTTTCTGTTGCTCCAGGCGCCGCAGTGACTTTTGCTGGGCTCGAAGCTGTTCCTGAAAGCCAGACCAGGCTTCCGACAGTGGTGCTGTCTCGATGTTTCTTCTCCGAGTCAAACAAGTGTACTCTGCCACTATCTCATTTTATGCCTTAGTGTGCAAGAAGGTGTGACTTCCCGATGCTCTTTCCCTCAGACCTCGAAGCCGGCGAGACGTTGCGTAGCCTCTGCCAGCGAAGATGGGTAGAAGTCCTGTGGCGGCAAGCAGAACATTTTCCGTCCGTTTGCCTGCACCCAGTACTACACCCCGTTGAGGCTGGCAATGCCGGAATCTTAGGCTGGAACGTCGGTGGAGGCAGCTGGGTCCTCGGTCGATGGCGCTTCGTTGAAGGAGTAGCTTCCCAACGTCCAGGAGATCAGAATGCAGCTGCAGTCTACATGGACGATTTTGCAAGCTTCTCATTGACCGCATTCGCAAAGAACTTGTCGATGGTCTGGCTACTTGGAGGATCATGGGACTTAGTAAGTATGGTTATAAGTACCTTAATTGGGGCCATAAGTAGTTAAGTAGTTCTAAGTATAGTTACCTTAATAATAACCTTAGTTACTGAGTCCCATGATGCTTTAAGTAAGATCTGCCTTGTGACCGAGGCTGCTGCATCCGTCCAGGCTGAGCGCCCCATCCCCCTGAGCGGAAGCTCTTCCCAGCGCCCGACGCCAGGCGCAACATGAGATACGACCGACAACACCAATATTGTCTGATATTTATAGTTTATAGAGTTTATTTATATTTATAATATTGAGTTTAGTAAGTTCAAATTATCAAATCAAATCGGTCATCACGAGCCGTCCTCGGAGGCTTCCCTACTCAATGAGATCATTCCTGAGAGCTGCAGCGGCCTCTGGGCTGCCTTGAGACGCTCGATCTCCCCACTCGTCCCCTGGGCCACAATAGCATAGTATAGTATATACTATAGTATATTATAGCATATTATAGTATATTATAGGATATTATAGTATATTATACTATAAGATATTATAGTATAGTAAAGTATCAAGGCTCCCGTCCCCAAAGGGAGGAGTGCACAGCTCTTGAAGACACGCGGAGTTACTCTCAAGATCGCAGGGCGAGGCACTGCAGCATCACCCCAGGCAGATATGGCAGATGACCTGCCATTCACAAAAGAACACAGCTTGCAGCTTTCATCGGTCCTGGCATGTTGGCCATGTTGCTCTCTCACAAGGCTGCCGCACGGGTGTGCGTCAGACTCCTCTACGCAAGACAAACTGCAGCCTCCCTGGCCATGCTGAAAACATGCTGATTCACACATACCAGATGCAGTTGTTGGGCCTCAATGTTTGCTCTTCAAGGGAGCTGTCATCGTCGCTTCCCTGCCCAATATGGAGGATAGAATTTCAATCGCAGAACATGCAGAACTGACAAGAACAACGAGACCTCATCATCAACGCCTTCGCACTTGCTCTCTGGCCTCCTCCCCGCGTGCACGGCGCTGCCGGCGTTTCAGCCCGAGCCGCTGGCGCTCTGCCTCCTGCAAAGACTGTCTGGTGCTTAGTAGGGAATGGGGGAATGGATCCCTATGATAGTCCCTTAAGGTCCCTTATAGTAGTCCACCAGACAGAAGAATGCATCTCTGAGTCTGGGGTTCCCTAGGAAACACCCTGGCACCCGAAAGGGAAAGTTTCGATGGCTGCTCTTGGAATTCCTTTGTGAGGCACTTCTGTCCTCGGCCAGCTGGGTTAGGCCTTTGCTTGAGAAACCGTGATGTCCGTTCATGCTGTGAGCACACAAATTCAGAAAGGCGATGTCCTGGAAAAAGTTATGAGAGAAGGTGATGCAGCCCGAGCCACGTCTTCGAGCTTCTTGGAGTGCTGCTGATGGGTCTACCTGGAAGCAGCTCTTTGTCTCTCGTTCGTTGCTGCACAACAAACACATTTTCTCAGGTCCCGGCAGCCTCCCCTCGATCCACAAGTAACCTGATTTCTGCCAGGGCAAGCATGACGAGAGCACGTGTGTGCAAGCCAGCAGCCAGCGCCACGAGAAGACTCCTCGACAAGGCACCTCCGGCGCTCCCTGGCATCCTCGTCCTCTGACGAGTCCTGGCCGTGATGTCCGCTAGGCTTGCCCACCCTGGTAGACAATGGCACTTCTTTAGGGAGTCTCTTCTACTGGTAGCCGTCGATCCAGGTTCACATTGCTGCCTTGCTTGGTCGGTTACATGACCGAGATCTATAGGGCAAGCAGCACAGCCCGACCCCTTCAAAACTCGTAGGAGCGATCCGCACGCGGTCTAGACCCGTGACAATTGAAGCAGGTAAGTTTCAGCAGACCTGATCACTCGACGCTCTCGTCTGTCAACCTCTAATTACGAAAAGGTCGGTGTACGAGAAATGCCCCTCTGCATGCAACACTTCACTATACCACAAACGAAGCTCCTCAACTCCCTCAACATCCGCGCGCATGGCCAAGCGTTCAAGGCCGTCGGTCAGCTTCCCGTGCCACCTCGGAGACAGGACTGTGGAGCTCCTTGCCGATTCTGGCATCGGGCCAAACAGAGTTCAATGTGATCCTTGCATCGCAACTCGTGTGTGGAATTGAAAGCAGAATCCAATGCAATCCTCGCGATTGGATCTTAGAGATAGACAGTGGCCAGTAAGGTCTAGCCACGTGGAGACGATCAGGTTCCAAGCTTGCGCTGGCATCTTCTCCGCAAAGTCCTGGCTGGCTTCACAGAGCAATCGGATCGTAGTGGGAGTTGTAGGGTTCGCATCCTTTTGAGGCTAAGGAGTGATAGAGTGTCAGGCACTACACTACACACGCGGGCGGTCTGGGACCGACTCGATGCAGCTGGCGCCTGGCACTGAGCGAGAGCTTGGCCCTTCTCGACGACGAGTGCAGTGAGGCTTTCATCGTCTGCCATCGCTCCAGGCTCTTTCTTGCGACGCCTGCGGCAGCACAGCAGGTCCTGTCTGGGCGCATGGCGATGGAAACCGATCACAGGTGCGGCACCTCTTCAATGCAGCCCGCTGCTGTTCCAAGTCATGCTCAAAGTTGGCCATACGCCGGAGAGCTTCCGACAAGGCTGCCTGCCTTAGATCGCAGGCTTCTTTGGACTCAGGCGTTTCTGTGCAAGAGCGACGATCATTGCATTCTACTGAAAATCCTATCCTGTCGTCCATGCCATTAATTAAAACTAAACTTTAGCGCCAGGTGGCAGCTCCGCATCGCTCGCATTGAAAGCTGCAGCAATGGCCGCTCCAAATGCGGAGGAGCCTCCTTTGGAGGTCAAGACCTGCCATCCCCGGGATGGGCGTTTCAATCGATACGGTTTAGGGTTTAGGGTTTAGGGTTTAGGGTTTAGGGTTTAGGGTTTGGGGTTTAGGGTTTAGGGTTTAGGGTTTAGGGTTTAGGGTTTAGGGTGTTAGGTAGTATTATTTGGGGTACCCCTTAAAGGGTACCCCTTCTGAACCCTACTTTTGGCTCCCTTAAAAGGGACCTTATTGAGAGGGTCTATATCCCCAAGGGTCCCCCTAATCCTAGCTCCCAAGTGTCCGATCATCGCCGGAACCAGCGTTGCAGCCGGCCTTCTGCGCGTCCTCTCTGAGCAGTGCGGACTTCTCCGTGCACGAGCGCAGGGCGTGGTCCAAGTCCTGGCAGCGTGCCTCGAAGCACAGGACCCAGAGACTCCAATACCCCTTAATTAAGGAATATACCTTAAATTATAGTAGGATCCCTAATAAGATTTAAGGTATATTCCTTAATTAAGGAGTATTGGAGTCTCTGGGGACGAGTCGCTTCGTCGTCGCAGTGCATTAAAGTATCAGCATCCCAGCAGCAGACAGAAACTCAAGAGGGTGCTTGTCAAAATTTGGGTCCCTTTTCGGGTACCCTAAGTATTAGGTGCCGTATTATATTACCAAAACTACCCACTAAGAGTCAAGAGCACAGAAGAAACTTCGCGGCGGCCAAGCGTCCGCCAGCTTCTCACATGCGGCCAGCTGCCCGTCTGACCAGCCTTCCCTGGATGCAGCCTCCACGCAAAGGGAATCTGAAAGCATTACGCTGCTATACGATTTTTTCGATAGTATACAGTACGAGTAGTATATTATACGGCTTTAACATTATATTATACTGCGACAGGTTCATGGGTAGTTCTGTACATTAGGGTCCCCTTTGAGGTCCCCAATACACTACGGCACCCTTATAAAAAAGGGCCCTAATGGGGATCCTAATTTAGAAAACTACCCTCATGATCTTACATGAAATTCCTCTGATGATCCTAAACCCTAAACCCTAAACCCTAGACCCTATACCCTAAACCGATCTTACATGAAATTCCTTTGCAGAGGCCCCTCGCTTCTCTCTCGCCTCGAAGAGCTCCTGGACCTCTTTTCGGCAGAGGTCTCGCTGCGCCGCCAGCTTCTCCAACTGACCTGCGTGGCTCCGCTGTAGGAGTTAAAGGATTAGGGTTCCTTGGGGTTTAGGGTTTAGGGTTTAGGGTTAAGGGTTTAGGGTTCAGGGTTTAGGATTCTGCAGTAGGAGATAGGGTTTTGGGTGCCTTAGGGTTTAGGGTTCTGCAGTAGGAGGTAGTGTTTAGGGTTTTCTTAGGGTTTAGGGTTCTGCAGGAGGAGGTGGGATTAGGGGCACCCTTGGAGATATAGACCCATAGGCCATGGGATGCAGAGAGGCATCAGCTGCTACTGTAAGAATTAGGAGTTTCCGAAAATAGGGGTACCTTATTGTGGGGGGTCCTTATAATAAGGATCCTACTATTTAGGGTACTATACTTATAAGGATCCTACTATTTAGGGTATTATATTAGGGTCGCCTGTTTTCGGAAACTCCCAATTAACATGCGGACCAAGGCACGTTGATGGAGCAAAGCATGTCCGACCAGCAGCACGCCACCATCCTCCGGCACCGAAGCTGACTGCAGGCGCGAATGAGCTCTCCACGAATCAAGGTCACACTTGACCTTCAAACGCTTGGTGCATGCAAGGCTGCTTCGGCCGGCCTCTCCGTGTTCCATCTGGTGGTACCGCTTCAGCTCTCGCTGTTGCAATTCCAGCTCCTCCTGCCCATGCCAATCTGTGCCGTGCAGGAAATGGCTGTGAGGGAATGCCGGATTGACGATAACGAAGGCCACCCCGAATTGCACTCGAATGCTTGAGCTGGTCTGTCACAAAGGATTCACCCCGTCGGCATCTAGCGAAATCACATCGCTGTCATTTTCACATATACTGCAGTATCCGACAAGCCGCTATGCCTTTCGGACGCAGATATGGCTGCGTGTTCGAGCCTCCAACTTCGCCAAGCGCTGCGCTGCGCGCTCCAGGCCAGAAGGGCCTCCGCTGCCTCGATGTCCGACGGCCGTACCGTCCTGGCCGCGAGGAGCTGTGGGGCCCTTCAGGGCTTCGGATCTTGCATTGGCTCCGTCCTCGCTCCAGGCCGAGGCTGGCGGCAGATTCCTGCAGATGCATTTTGAGCGTGGTTCTGAAGTTCTTCACATGCCATGGGCTCGGCATGGCTCGGCAAGCAGCAGTCTGCATGGTCGTCAGGGTCTGCGTCCTCTGGCGCTGGCGGCTGCCGTGGTGACTGCCCTGTCAGGCAATGGCAGGGGTGGATAGCCCTTCGAGCTACATCTTGCAGCACATCCGTCTATATGCTGCACACTGCTTTACTGCACCGTACTATTGTTCGTACTCAAAGTTTCAGAAGATCGCAGCATCTACACAGGCCGCCTCTGCATCGTCCTCTTCGCCTGAAGGCAGCCGTGCCTGAAATTCGAGGCACACAGCCATCTCGAATGGGGTCATGTAAATCTGGGGCCTGGGTAAGTTCTTTTCACTTGAAACGCATGCTGGGAACTGTGGGCAGTTCAACAGCAGCAGCAAGTCTTCTATTCTAGGGCATGCTGAGGTCAGGCACACTCCTGCTGCCATACCGCCCGCCTTCAGACACGGATGCTGGCAAGAGCTGATACAGATACATGTAAGTTCAGACTTGCGTCGCAGCACGCAACAGGAATACGAGAACTATAACTATAGAGCCACAATCCACTGGTGCTGGAGCAGAAGGGGCACATCTTCCCGACTCCAGCCTTCAGAGCCTGCATCTTCCGTGATATCTCCGGCTGCTTCCTCCAATGCCGCGGAAGCGGAATGAATCGATGCTGTCCGCGCCTGGCAATCGCAAGGCCAGGCGAGCCAATCTGAACGCTTCCTGATAAAGCAATGAAGAACCATGACCGCTCCAGCAAGTCACCTCTGCCACGTCCCTGCGAAGCTGGCGCCAAAGCCCTTGCAAAGCAGACCACTCCTGCGCGGTTCAGGCCATCCACACAAGCCGCTATCGATTGAAGAGACATTGTGCAACAGCTCTTGCTTAGTTGTGGCGTGGGTAAGAGAAGTCCCTCAACTCGCAATTGTCGCCAATTCCAGCTGTGACGCATGTCGGCGAGTCATTGCACACATTCATAACCCGATGCCCAAATTCCGTAGAGCATCCCTCCCGGAATTTTTTTGACGAGAGCAGAGCGCATTGTCACACCAGCCGCTGATGGTACAGTGGCAGAGCTGCACTCTTTTCAAATGCAGCAGCTGCATGCACATCCATGTGGTGCCATTGCATCGTGGAGAACGAATGCACCTAGGCGACTTGAACTGAGGAAGCTTTTCTTGAGATAGACTAAAGCCACAAGGCGAGGCACCTTTCTAATCTTGAGAGCGAAAGAGTATGCACAATGCACAGCTGCCGATTGTCTTGCCGCTGCGTGTGGAATCTGAGTGCCTATGCCCACCGGATGCCCAACTGATCAACCGATGTACCAAAATCAACCCCTGAAATACCGTCGTCCGAGTTCGCAAGGTTCCGATAGTGTGCTGCTAGTCTTTAGAACCTTTTTAGGCACCCGCACTGGTCCACACCAGCCTGGTACCGCTAAGGCATTTGGCACTTGAGGTCACTTCATAAACTGCGAAGCTGAATCGATCCAAATGTCAATGTGGAGTAGTTTTGCCGCGTCCTCCTGGAATCTGGAAGCATGCACAGCTTTATACGGATACACTCGAAGCCGGGCAACATCACACCAAGCAATCATGATGGTCAGGACGAGACGAAACTGCGAAGTCAAGGCATTCTAGACATGACTGAGCATGAGATTTCAAGCAGCTGTCTGTCCAAGCCCTAAATGGGCACAGCTGCACCATCCGGTCTGTGCGACTGAGGAGGGCCCCTGGGAAGTTGAAAGTCCCAAAGTCAGTGCTGACTACGCTGGCAGAAAGCACTCTCGAACACGCGAAGCTGTAGCAACAAGCTGGACATGTAGGTTAGAGCGTAGGATAGTGCAGGTGTAATTGCAGCGGGCATGCCTCAGTCCTCGCACCTTTTGATGAATGCATTGTGTGTAGCACACGATGTAGACGCCTTTGTGCGAGTCCTCATGATGTAACTTATCCAGAGAAACTGCTAGACTCTGTGCTCGTAGCAAGCAAACACAACAATGGTACAGCTACCATGGCAATGCATACCAAACCGGAATGCTGGTCTTCACGATTCTCGGCAGGTAGCTCAGTGAACCACAGATGATATCTCGCAATACCTACCTGACCATCATTAAGGAGGACAAAGCAGGAGACAAAACAAGCTGCGCATTGGCAGTGCGCCGGGCAGGTGACCAGGCGTGTGGCAATTATGATTTGGAGGGCAGGGTGATCGACTGGTCCCAAGACTTTGTACCGTAGAGAGGGTGAGCGATTGCTGCACGAATCCCACCCTGCTCTCCTGAAATGCAGCATTTTTGCGCAAAGACGAAATGCCAGTTGCGGCCTCTGGGGCGGAGTAGAATGCCATTGCCCCAACGAGAAACAGCGAAGTCAATGAATCTCCGTCCCAAGCTCGGGCCCAGGACCAGTGAAAGTCAAAGCTCCCCTGCGAGCCTTAGCCCTTTCCTTGGACGCTACTGTAGGCGGCTGTGCAAAATGCTGCAACTTTAGCCTCCAGTCGAGCAGGCTAAGTATACTCTGAGTTTACTGATGCATGGATGCTGCTGGACGCTGCCTGAAGTTCAAGAGTCATCCGAGGCAGTCTCGCAAGGTAAATGCGGCATACATGCGGCCTTCTCACCCTCCATCATCACTCGCGCGTCACTGCTGTTGCTGCGATGTCTTAAAGATGTTATCAGTCTGTCTGCCTTCCAAAAGGTTGTAAAGGATGCTGAGAGCGCTGCAGTTGACGCAGATTCTGGAGGGCAGCACTGCTTGTGAGTCTGTTGCAGAAAAGGTGGCCGTAGCCACATGAATTTCGGCACGTATTTGCAGCCATTCGGTTGTCTTTTCCAAGCTTCTAAGCTTAAGCACAAGGTCGCGGATGTTGACGCAACCTTTGCTGGGAGTCGCTGCTGCTGTTTCCATGTTTCGAAAGAGAAGATATCCTTGGCATTCCTTGATCCTATCTCACAGATGAATCCCCCTTGACAGGAGAAGAGACAAGGGCTCTCCAGGCTTGTGCCAGCACATCACAGCAGGACAAACTTCGAAGACTACAGTCTCCGCCTCCTACGCAGGACATCTCAGCTGTCTCGGTTTCCTGACTGCGTGCTGGAGGTGATCGTCGACTCCGAAGGCCAGACATCCTGCAGCTGGTTATTTGTTGGTTCAATTGTTACAATTGTTATAATGCTTGGCATATTTGTAATAATACTAGGTATATTATAATACTAGGTATATTATAATACTAGGTATATTAGTTGGTATACTTGTTGAGTAATTACTAGGATTTTGGGGAGAGGCTGCAGATGGCCTTGCCACCCTTCGCCAGCCGGTGCCGTCGGCTTTCTGGATCAGGAACGTCCGGGATCTCCTCCACCTCACAGGCAGTCTGAAGGTGGTCCAAAAGCCAAAAACTGCCTAAAGCCCCTAAAACCCTCTCACCACAAAACCCTCTGCCCTCTCAGTCTCGAAAGCCTCTCTTCTCTGGGGTTCCCTGCCGGCGGAGAATAGAACTTCAAGCCGGGCTGGAGGGTCAGCGGCTCGGACCGGAAGCCCGGGCGCCGCTCCTGCCAAGTTCAGTCAGGGTTCAACGACGAACTTGGGCTTCGGGGCTTCGGGGCTTTGGGGCTTTGGGGCTCTGGGGCTTTGGGGGGTTTAGGACGGGAGGGCGCCTGGAGCTTCGGCTTGGTGTGCGAGGTGGTCTCGGTCTTGGCCGCTGCCATCTTGGCGTCCAGCAAGAGCTGGCGCTTACCTTCAGCCCCATGGGACTTGGGATGGATCTCGGCAGAAAAGCCCGCGTGGAGTCTGCAGGCAAGTCTCGAGGCGTAAGCAGCGTCGGGAGTTGGTCTCCATCCTGACAGAAGCAGACCACGTCCCCCGAACCCGCCTTAAGGCCTGAAGCTTGAAACTTCCGCTCCCGTCGCCGCCTCGGCCGCGATGTCTGGAACCGGAAGTGTTGCCTTTGCCATGGCGAGGCCCTCGGGGGTGCCCACCGGAATCACCGGAAGTCGTCGGCGGCAGAGTCGCTTTGAGAGGGCCGGAAAGCTGCGGTCAGAAGCGCGATGCAGGCGGCGAGTTGTGAGACAGGTTGAACCTGAGCAAAGCCTCAAGGTGCATCCGTACAAAGTCCCGTGGCACGTGGCAGCCCACCTGGTCGTTGCCCTCCCAACCTGCATGCGGAGAGCTGCAAGTACCGCTCGAAGCTCATGCAGGCTGCGTGGGGCCTTCGTTCGTCTCCAGAGCGCGCAGGGCGTCGCCTTCAAGCCCTGCCAGGGCCTCGCGCCGGCAACGAAGCTGAGCTTAAAAAAAAACCCGGGAAATCCGGGACCCAGCGTGCCTCCTCTTCAGCAGCCGCCTGACCCAGGCGAAGCCTGAGAGCAACAGCACATGGGCCACAGGTGAACTGCAGAAACGTTCCGTAAATAAGCTGCTGTCAGTGGATGGCTGTCCGCAAGCTGTGACCGCTGCCACCTGGCAAGTGCAACATCGTGTGACTCCATCAGCTTGCCGCAGAGATCGATGAAGAGACAAGGAGGCATGAAGATGGAGAGTGAGAGAGTGAGAGAGTGAATGACAGTGGCATACAGTAGCAGAAACGGAGAAGCAAGACGAGAGCTCGAAACGAGACAGCGACGACAAAGGACAAGAAGGCATCGGTCTAGGTTGCCAAAAATGACTTGCAAAGCTTTAGCGTCATGCTGATGCCGTGCTCACTGAAAAGATGTTCACATCAGCTTTCTGAGTTGTCGTGTGCTGACTGCATGGCAGTTGCCTGAGCTTGGCGAGCGCCTCCGATGCGCGCCTCATGCAGCCAGACTTCCAGCTGTACAGGCTGTGTGGGGCCAGGGCAGCATGGTGCGTGCAAAAAGCCAGTACTGATTCAGAGTCCTAACAGCCAGTACCTGTTTTGATCGAGCAGATATGGCGTCTGCTCAGTGTCGACGACGACTCCGGGGCCGAAGCAGATACTTGCTCGCGGCTTCGGTCACTGCCCTGGGAAGCGTGGGCCGCCTTAGATTGCCAGAATATGCTAGACTTGAGAGTCTTGACCCCGAAACAAGACGGACTGCACCATGGCCAGGATGGCCAGGTCCAGATTATAATATTAATACTCATATTTATACTAATACCAATATTATTTTAATAGATACTACAAAATATTATAGTCCCGAACCCAAACCCAAACACACACACACAAACACACACACACACACACCCTAAACCCTAAACCCTAAACCCTAAACCCTAAACCACGACAAGACAAGACAGGAGTCTTCTGCGGCTCGCTTCTGCAATCAGGCTGCTTCAGCTTGGACGGGAGCCGGGCCTTGGTGAGCTGATACGGTACTTGGAGGTTCATGGGTA